CAGCAAAATGTTGACTGACACTCTGTGTTGGTCTCCCCTCTCCTAAGCTGGTGAGGGGAGACAGCTCTGCCTGGGGATCTGTGTTCAGATTTTGGTTCTACTGCTTAGTAACTTGTATAAGCAGGTCTCCTCACCTCAGCTTCTTCCTCCATAAAACACAAAGTGCTCCCCTGATAGCTGTGAGGATTAAGTGAGATGGTTGATGCCCCATGCAAAATAATGATTCCCATGTTGCCCCGCAAGAGTTAAAAATGCCACCAATTGGGCCTCCCCGGTGGCGCAGCGGTTGAGCGCTGGGTTGCGAAGCTGCCCGCAGCCTCTGCAGCGCCGGTTCGATCCCCGGCTGCTCCCTGGCCACCGGCGGAGGGTCCCACATGGCGCGCAGACCTCTCCTGCCGCCCGCTGCTCCCCTCAGCAGTGTACTTCGGTCCTTCTGCCTGCTCTGCTCCCCACTCTGGCTCTGGTGAACTCTCTCACCCTCCCGCGCTTCTGACTGTACCCAGTGCTTGTATAAATAAATAAATAAATATTTAAAAAAAAAAAAAGAAATAAGGTATTAAAAAAAAATAAAATTTATAAAAAAAAAAAAAAAAAAAAATGCCACCAATTATAAAATGCGTCATTGATGTAAAAACAGCTTTTGGGGGAGGAGAGGGGAACACACTACTAAATTTTCTGATTGATTCTGAAAAGCATCCTGATTTCAGAAACATTAGAAGTGAGAAAACCTTCATCCTATTTGAGAAAGGATTGTATTCATTTCACAGTGGGGTATTTAGCATCTGTCCTATAGATTATCAGCGTTCTGCATACATGTAGGTGACCTTTTAATTTTCTCGGAAATTTCTGTCTTATTTGTGTAAAAGGACCAGGAACCTATTCCCAGTTTGTGCCTCAAACCTGCTTTTTATGGCCTCAGGATCTCTGTCATAACCCGTTTTTATGCTTTCACAAACTGAGCCCCTGGGGAGCTGTCTGCACTGTTCAGTGTGATCCAGCTGAATTCCTTCCCTTCCCCACTCGAGCCCTTTGATTTGCCAGGTTTTTGTTCCTCTACCCTAAGGATGGACTGAGATTGCTGAGCACGGCCTCTCTTGTGGTGCAAAGTGAGAATTGTTTTTAATTGAGCAGAAACATGTGGAAGGATCAGGAATATCTCAAGGGATTACAGAAAAATTCCAAATTTGTACTACTTACAGCTTGTGTTTAGAACAGGGTCTGCTGGGAATAAATGTTAGTTAGTGTGGCCTGTGACCTTAAAAACTGTTGACATGGACTTCAGCCAGAAACTAGCCACAGACCTCCTTTGTTAAACTCATTCATAGCTCCTTGAAAACTCTAGTCAGTGAAAGTTGCCAGCTCCAATCTAAGCATAGCCCCCCCTTTTTTTCCCATGCTTTGGAAACAGAGGACGCCCCTTAACCAGCAAGCCTTCTTTAATAGGACTACACAGCCTTAAACGCAATTGGAATTGACAACTTCCTGGCTTGGGTTTGCCAACTGGCAGAGCTGTGAGGCCGAGGGGACAAACAGCTTTGGGGCGCTGCGCACTTGTGTTTGTGTATGTGTAGAGGGGACTGAACTCCAGAGCACTGTGATGCCCTTCACTCCAAAGCCACCCTCTGTCCCGAATTGGACACATCTTCCGAGTGTTCTGGCTGGGATAGACAATTCAGAATGATCTCTCAATATAGGGGAAAAAGAAAATAACTGCTCTTTCTTTTTTGAGGTGACGATCCTGGCCTTTTCCATTTCTCCTCGAAACCCTTCATTTAATTTTCTTTTCATTGGTGTGGGGTTGCTCAAATATAGCAAGAAAACTTGCAAATCGGGTTGGGGAACTGGTGGTTCCAGAGATGGCACTAAACATCCACCCCCTCTGGAGTCTTACCAAATTATAGTTTCTGATTAAGCTGAAGGAGCAGCCAGGATCTCTGTTAATGTTACTTATTGAGAAAACTGAGGCACGGGGAGGTTAAGCAGTGTTTTCTCCCTACTCTCTATAAAAAGGAATCCTAAGAAAAGGTCTTTAGCCATTTGCTGCCTCTGCAAACCAGCAGAGTAATTGAGAGCAGAAATTAATATTTTCCCCAATTCTTGTCTTTAATCCAAATACTACATTATCTGAACATAAAGACAGGGAGGCTGATAGGATGTTTTGAAAAATGAATCATGTAACCAGACTAAAAAGAGGAAGCAGAGATGCAGAATCATATCAGTTCATATCTCTTTCTGCTTAACCATTTCTTAAATTTTGGTTGTTGGAATATAATATTTATTTCCAGTTATGCTGTTGAAATTGTTATTTTTAACATAAATACTCTAGCAGACTTATCACTTCTAAAAGCTGCGGAGGTTTGGCATGATTTCAAGCAGGCATGTGTGAGGAGAAAAAAAGGAATGTCACATTGGCCTAGGAATCAGTGGCACGCTGGCCTAGGAATATGGAAACTTTGAAAAGAAAACTTGTATCACTTCCTAGAGAGTTAACAAGAATTCAGACAAGATTAAGAGAGAACACATATGAATAGTTGGTGTGCCATATAAGTATTTGATGAAGGAAAAAAATTGTTGAAATGACTTATCAGTCCCAATATTTGCCTGTATATACACATACATGCTCTCTCTCTCTTTCTCTCTCTCTCTCTCTCTCTCTCTCTCTCTCTCTCTCCAGCACTCTCACCTTAAATCATTTATTCCTCCTACAGAGGTAGATGATGCCCTCATGTTTCATTACGTAAAGTTCTAAAGCAAAGCTGTTATATATAGAAAGAACTGTTTAAATTCAAACTTATTAACCACGTGACAAATTGAATCACTTATCTGATCCTCATTTCCCACATCCATAACATAAAGATAATGAAAAGCACTTTGTAAAGTTAACATATCAGTCAAAATAATATAAGCCACTTAAAGGAAATTCTTATTTCCATCATATGTTTATCTCCTATTTTCTATCAAAGGGAATCATATGAAAAGGTCTCAAATAATGCACAGCCTCTGTGATTTGTCCCTGCTCATCCAGGGAATGTAGTCACTCTGTAGACCAGCTAAGAGTGACTGAAAGTGTCTCAGTTTCCAAATAGAAAAACTTGCAGTAACCTACGGAAGTTGTTTTCTGTACCTCTGCCCTATGCTAAGAGTAATTTATATTGTTAGAAAATATATTTAAGTAGTTAACAAGTGATGAAGAAAGCCAGATTCTGTTGTTTTTTTGTTTTGTTTTGTTTTGACAACTAAGAAGATAGTCATCCCAGAATATTAAGCAGTGGAGAGCATTATGCAGGATTCTTTGAACCCATATTCACAGTCCCTTCCATGCAGATTTGGCTATGAGCACTCATTCTTCAACACACGGTGAAGGCGATTTTATAAGGATTAATTCCAAAATTCTCCCCCATTTCAGCTGAAGTATCCACTGTTTTTCCTAGCCTCTGTGTTAGTATGTGAGTTTCACCCTTGGTGTTTTGTGTGAAGAGCAAATTATATGCGCCCTCTCTGTCTCCAGCATAGCAGGGGATTGAGAATGTACCTGGACCAATTGGTGGAGGGTGAAGGGCTCGGGTTCATCAGAGGAGGGAACATTATTTGTCAGACTTTATTTTACTGGAATATTTTCCCCTTTGAGTTCACAGATGAGAGTATGTCATCTTTTTTTTTTTTTTCTTAAAGATTTCCCTCTAATGCTACCTCATTTTCTAAACTTTCATTAATAGCTCTTTGCAGCTCAAGCAAATATTTTAGATCTTTCTTGTACTCTCCTCCAGCTGGGAGTGTCTTTCACACATCAAAGGCAGATATGAGCCTCTCATTAAAAGATAGTATGAGTTCATCATCTCAGAAGAGTGGGACCTGAAAACCTGAGATAACTTTCAGCTACAAGACGTATCTAAGCTGGACTGAGATTTTTCCAGGGCTTCCCACATTTCTTTTCTCAATGTGTCACTCCCAGCTTGGCTTTCTCCTTTAGTTTCATTACATCTGAAGATTAGCCTTATTCAGAATAGAAAGTTAGCTGTAGACTTTAAGAAAAATAAGTGCTTTAAAATTTAGTTTGAATAAAAAACAGGGAATCTGAAGCTTCTAAGAAAGCTCAGGGTTTGCCCCCGCCCTTCTACACACGTTTTGTGCTAGGCCTTCTTACTGCTCTGATTGTTCCAGTGTCTGTAAGGTAATTATAATGAAATTATTAAGTCAGCTCTGAAAACTCCACCCCCCCCCCACATTTTGTTAATGAAAAACAACACAAAAATCAGGGCAGTTGAACAGATCGCTCAAGAATATAGAAAGCAACTGGTTATGTCCTTCAGATTTTATCTTTGAAAACATCCTAGACCAGGATGAACTGAAGGTTCTATTCCAGTTGAACGCCTGGGAGATATGTTCAGCTGCTTTTCTATGTACATGTGCCCAGACACACGCGTGGACGTGTCATCACAGCATCCTGTGGCTCCGTCACGGAGGCAGTTCAGACTCAGTCCTTCCCATAGCATTTTCTTTCCTCCCTTTGATCAATTTCAAGTTCTGTGTTCGTATTTTCTAGCCAAAGGTGAAGGTTGTCCCCAGATAAATATTGGGATGGCCTGCCAGCCAAATCCCAGGCAACCCAGTGAATTACTCTCTTTGATAGTAGAAAGGTCTAGTTCAAGTTGCTCTGAATGGTTTTTAACTATAAAACAAGAGCCTTAACAAAAGTCGCTGGTGTCCTTCAAATGGTTTCTGTCCCAGTAGCCTGTTCCTTTGGCACTTTAGGATCTGAGGCTTGTTCCATTAATAATTCAAACTGCAGGTTTTTGGAGCATTACATAGCCTATGAGTGTGGTGAGAGAGGGGCGAGAAGAGCGCATGATGTATTCAAAATGCATGAAGTAAAAAAATGAAAAGCAGCTAGCAAACAACCCTCTCCCCCACACCCCCAATACACACACACACACACACACAGAGAGAGAGAGAGAGAGAGAGAGAGAGAGAGAGACAGACCCAGAAGCTGTTGACTCGGCAGTTTTTCTTTCTTTATGGCTCTAGGGACAGGTTTAAATTGGGGAATTTTTTTTTTATTCTCTCGTGCAGTGTTGAACAGGAAGGCAGTGTTTGATGTAATCTGGCCCAGATGTCAGCAATATGCAGCCTTGTGATGATTATTTATCTTCAGGTTTTTACTTTGTAAAATGAAAATCGGCAAACAATTGTTTAGGGTTGTAAATTATATTTAGTGACCGTTTTTGAGATCCTGTGTGTGTAACAAACATATAGATTAGTTTAAATATGTTTTAAATTTAATTTCATTTTAGCTATTAATCTTAAAATCCTCTTTAACAAATGCTGGTTACGAGTCCCCTGATAGATGTTAACATGTTCAGTGCATTACTGTCTGGGTATTGTTCCTCTTATTTTAATTTTTCATTCTTCTGGAAAGTTTTCTCAGACCGTTAAAACTAGTCAGTTCTTTTAAATGGTCTTTGAAGGAATTTTCTCACATAAATTTCCCACAAGCATATTTGTATTTTTTGGATACATAATCGCTTAGAACACAGAGGGCACAGCTTAGATAACAGTCACCAAATGGGAGTCCAGCTACTCACTCAGGATTCAGATGTAGGTTTGAGAGTATTGTTCTCAAAGCATGGAAGTTGCTCATGATTTTTATCCATCGTCTACCCCCTTGAAGTAGAGCTGATGACTGCTAAATCCCCTTAAGAGAACAGAGTTAGACATTTTCTTCTTGGAGGTGGGAGAGGGGAGTGTGGGGGTGTCATGTAATTCTATTTCAAAGATCATGGAAAATCTTTGCTTCTCTAGTGTTATTTCCCCAGACATAACACAGTAAATTGAATTCAAACTACTCACTTCTATAGTGAGCTAGCTGCCCTTTCAGGACTGAGTTCAAGTCAAGGTTAAATGTAAAAAACTTTTAAATGTTTTCCATATTAGATGCCAACAGTAATTCTAACTTGGTTTAATAATAATCCTGACTTAGCAAAGCCAGGGTGAACTACTGGCTTTACTGAAATTTTAGTTTGTCTTTAAAATGCTGTATAAATCACACTCTCTATAATCGAAGATCACTCACCTCATAGTATCGGTAGTTACTAATTTAAAGTAGTCTTTATTGGCAGCAGTGGCGTATATAGGAAAGATTAGTTTCAGGATATGGGTTCTAGTTCCACGTGTGCTCCTCATGGGCCAGGTGACCCTGGGCAAGGAGCCCGACCTGCTTCAGCCTCATCTGTAAAATGCAGGAATTGGACTAGGTAGTTATCAACATCCCTCAAGATTCTAATATTCTGTAATTTTTTTTTTCGAATCAAATTCCAGTGAGCTCATTAGGGTTTTATTGCAATAATTCATGTTTCTTGGACAATCCTTTCTTTATTCCCAAGAATGTGTTTGAGATGTGTGATCAGAGGGATTACAGAAGTCTTAGTGCAGTCTTGCTAATGCATGGCAGTAGTTAAACTTTCAAAAATTGCATTTGATTATTAGCATTTTGGTCACTTTTAAGTAGGGCATGTGCGACCTAATTTATTCTTTAGGTAGGGACAGTGTTTTCATCCTTGCCCCAGTACATCTTCCTGGGAAAGCTTACAGCAGTGGCAGGGGTCTTTCTCCTTACAACATCATAGCTTGCCCTAGCTTGAAATCTGGAGGTAGTAAGAAAAGAACCTCTGGATTAGGACAGGAGAGATCTAGACCTTGTCCAGAGACTTATGGATTATGTGTCTTTGAGTAAGATGTTGGATTTTTCTCCCTCTTTGACTAGGAATTGCTCATGCGAACTTCCCAGCTGACTGCACAGTTCTTACAGGTCATCTGTTCTCAGACGCTTACTGAAGACCTTTTCAGTTACATGTGCCTTTAGCCTCCATAAGGACAAAATTGCTATTGGTGTGTATAATTACTACAAGGAATTTGACATCTCATTAGAGTCCCATGTCCAGCTATGGGTGCATTTTGTAGAGAAGGTGCAGTCTAACTCTCCGACAATTTTTGAAAGGTAAATGTTGTTTTAAGACATTCAGAATTCTTGGTTAATAATAAAATCTTTTAAAAAGGAGCTGTACCTTAGCACTGTTTTGAAAGCATGATTCCTAGAAGTTCAGGCAAATACTAGGTGCTGTATCTGCAGTGAGGGTTATGGGAGGAAATCATAAAAGTTTCTTCTTCGAGAATTTGAATATCAATGAAATGTGGAACAGTGGAAAGAGGAGTTTTGGAGTCAGACAGGTTTGAGTTTGCTCCCCAGCTTCCCACTTGTCAGCTTTGGATCTCTGTTAAATTACCTAGCCTCTTAAAACTCTTTTTTTACCCAACTCTGCAATTCCTATGGAAGGACCTACCTGCAAGTGTTGTGAGACAATATTTGCAAATTGGCAGCAAGCCTGTAAATGGTAGGGGCTCTCTGGTTGGTAATCATTCATGCCTCCCTGGAGCAACAGGCATACAGCATCTAGAAATGGTCAGAGTAGAAACAGGGTGTTTGAATTTTCATCAGCTGCTATTGTTGGGAAAAGTAATTAGCTTTGAGATGGATGTGTCCTTTGGTGGGGAACCTGGAAAGTAAACTAAGAGAGTTTAAGAGCCATCTCTTTTTTCAGCTACATCCCCATGAGCATATCCTAAATTTTCTGGACTTTTTTCCCCCATTTACATGAAAGGACAATAGAAGTCCCTTCCAAGGATTTGTTATGTGGATCAGATAATAACATACGACACAACTTTGTAGTATTTGATCCCTATGCAAGTTTTACCAGGTGACCCACTCAGAATCTAATATGGCTTTTTTTTTTTAATTTCCCCAAGATTTGCTCTCAGTCCCTCTCTTGGGATGTGTTAATGTGAAAAAAAGGAGACAGAAATTTGCCGTATGTAGTAGAAGCCCATCCTATTTGGGAAGCCGAATGCTTCCTTCATATACATTGTTATTCTGTCTTACAACAACACTGCAGAAGAAAAATTATCTTCATTTTATAGAAGAGGAAAGGGAACCTGCAAGGATAATAACTAAGTTAATATTAGTTATTAATGAATATTGTCAATATTTAAACCGAGCTCTGACTCTAAAACCCATGTTATTCCTACTCTTTGCTGTTGCCTCCATTCCATACATTCTATCTTGTCTGACTTATGCTGAGGAGACGTGTGTTGGATGTTTATGGTGCTTCGTACTCCGTGTGAGCCCTGAGGATGCAGATCTATACAAGATGGACACACTCCCCATCTGCACACGTCCTGGGGTGTGAAGACAGGCAACAATTAAACATCCAGTTGTAATTATTGAACCCTGCTAAGAAAAACACAGGGTATTAGATCTATGTAAATGGTTAAGTCATCTGTGTATTTTAAACAAATATTCTCCTCTGAATCATTGATTTCTATTGGTTTCACGTATCACATTATCATCTTATCTAGTTATAATCTTAATGTAGTTCTGGTTTGGGGATGAATGTAACATCCTGTATTTCCATAACTTAAAGAAAAACCTGCTAAAATATGCATAAAATTTTAATAACATCTCATATTTATTAAATGCTGACTCCTTGCTGAGTGCTTGCCACGCCTTCTCTCATTTAATCCTCACAATAACCTTAGGGAAGGGCACGAGGGTCCCCATAGTGCAGATGAAGAAACTGAGACTTGGAGAGATGAAGTAACCAGCCAAAAGTGACAAAACTAAAACGTGGTAGGAGTCCTCTGATTGCAGATTCTGCATTCTTAAATAAATTCAATCAAGCATATTAGGAAAGTTGAAATTTTTTTCAAAATTGAGATAGTATGACTTTTTAATTCAATTTTTCCTATTTAATATACGTACAGTAAAATGCATCATTTGTCCCATACAGTTTTTTGAATTGTTGCAAATTCACAATCATATCTACTACCACAATCAAGATGCAAGCAGTTCCCTAACCAGCCCCCAGATTGCTTGTTCTGCCCCACTGTAGTCAAACCAACTCCTCATCCCAGCCTCTGACACTCACTGATCAGTTATCCACCCCTAGAGCTTTACCTAAAATATTGTGAAAGTGCAATCAGATAATAAGTGCCTTTTGGGGCTGCTTTTATGCAAAATGCATTTGCGATTCATCATGTATGTGTATTGGTGATTTATTCCTTTTTGTTGTTGAGTAGGTATTTTATTTCATGGATGTAAACAATTTGTTTATTCCCCATGGAAGCACATTTAGGTTGTTCTCAGTTTTGTAATTATGATTAAAGCTACTGTACACATTTGCATATACAGGTTTTTGTGTGAACACAAGTTTTCTTTCTCTGGGTAAGTACCTAGGGGTGGAGTTACTGAGCCAGAGGCTTAGTATATGTTCAACTTTACAAGAAATTGTAAAGAACAGGTGTCCCCACATGGCTCTTTCATTTTGCATTTCTACCTGTTCTTCATGAGAGTTCCAGTTGCTCCACATCTTTACCAGCAGTGGTGTCGCCACTGTTTTTATTCTAGCTATTCTGTCAGCTGAATTCTGTATTCATAGTATCTATTGTGGTCAAATTTGCATTTTCCTAATGACGTGATTTTGAACATCTATTTTTTTGCTAATTTGTTATCTGTGTTTTATCTTTGGTAAAGTGTCTATTCAAATCTTTTGCCCATTTAAAAAATTGGTTCATTTCCTGATGAGTTTTTTTTTTTTTTTAAGATTTATTTATTTATGCATACAAGAGCTGGGGTACAGGCCAGGTATCAGAGATACAGGGGATTGAGAAGATTCACCAGAGACAGAGTGGGGAACAGAATAGGCAGATTGAAATACACTGCTGAGGGGAGCAGCGGGCAAGACAGGAGAGAGGTTTGCTTCGCCATGTGGGTTGCTCCCTGGCCTGCTGGGGCTCGAACTTCATAGTGCGGTGTTTAACCCCTTGAGCCACCAGGGAGGCCCTTCCTGATGAGTTTTAAGAGTTCTTGAAATATTCTTGATACAGATCTTTTGTCAGACATGTAATTTGCAAATATTTTCTCTCAGTCTGGGGCTTGTCTATTCATTCAATGTTTTTCACAGAAGTAAAGATTTTAATTTTGATTAATGTACCAGTTTTTTCTTTTATGGATCATGCTTTCAGCGTCATGTCCAGGAATTCTGCCTAACTCCGGGCCATGGATTTTCTCCTATGTTTTATTCTGAAAGTTTTATAGCTTTGTTTGACATTTAAGTCCATGATCCACTCTGAGTTGATTTTTTTAAGATGTGAGATGCAAGTTACAACCCCTTTTTCTTTGCCCATGGACATCTAGTTGTTCTAGCACCATCTGTTGAAAAGTCCATCTATTTTTCATTGAATTACCTTTGCACCTTTGTGTCTAAATTTGACTGTATTTGTCTGGGTCTGTGTTTGGGCTGTCCTCTGTCCCACGGGACTATGTGTCTGTTGATCCTGGGGACCGTGGCCTTATAGTAAGTCTTGGTATCAGATAACAGAGTCTTCCCGGCTGTGTTCTTTTCCAAACTTGTATTTACTCTTCTAGTTCCTTTGACTCATAAATGTTTCTTTTCTATTTTGTTGACTTTTGATACCTACAGAAAATCCCACTGGGATTTGAATTAATATTGGATTGAATGTATAAATCAGTTGGGGGGAAGCTGACGTTTGAACAATATTTGAGTCCCTCCACCCGTGAACACGTACATCAATTCAGGACTTCTTTCATTTCTTCCTTGGTGTTTTGTTCTTAGTATACAACTCCCACACATATTTTATTAGGTTTACAGCTGAATGTTTGTTTTCTGGTGGGGGGGGCGTGGGGTGGCAAGTGCCTACATGTACGCACGCTCACACTAATGTAAATAGTACGGTTAAGGGCCTCCCCGGTGGCGCAGCGGTTGAGCTCTGGGTTGTGAAGCTGCCCGCAGCCTCCTCAGTGCCAGTTCGATTCCCGACCACTGGGCGAGGGTCCCACATGGTGCGCAGACCTCTCCTGCCACCCACTGCTCCCCTCAGCAGTGTACTTCATCAGTTTGCCTGCTCTGCTCTCCCCTCTGGCTCTGGTGAATTCTCTCACCCTCCCGTGCTTCTGACTGTACCCAGGGATTGTATAAATAAATAAATAAATAAATAAATAAATAAATAAATAAATAAATCTTTTTTTAAAAAAAAGTACAGTTAAAAAATGAAATACTATTTTTTCATTGCTTTCATTCTAACATACCTTTTTTTTTCCCCTGAAGGTATTATCCTATCCTTTAAGGTCTTTAGCAAGTAAAAGATTGTTTCTTGATGTTTGTTCATCTTTGAGTTTTCATCTGTTTGTGATCTCCTGGCTCTTGCACCATTTTGTAATTATGATGTCAAAGCAGACAGCTTCAAAGAATCCTCCTGGGAGGATCTGAAAAGTGTTCTCCTCTGTACAGGTGGGTTGGTTTTGAGACAAAACCCATGTTTCCTTCTTTCCATGGGTGTCACGGGCATTTTAGAGTTTCTTTTGTTTTGCTTTGCAGATGAGATGAATAGTCAACTTCTCTTACCTCAGAACCTCTCCTTTAATGTATGATAGTCGCTTGTAGCTTGATAAAAACAAGGCTCTGCAGTAGACACTCTGGAAATGAAGAGTATGTTTTCTGGGCTTTGGCTCTTAGATGACTAAACAAAAAAACAGTGGCAGGGGAAATAACTATAGCTGTTCCCTACATTGTATTTCAGTCTTCAGTGGGTCTGTGCTAGCTCCTGTTCATGTTTTGCTTACCAACCACGCTTACCTGGGGAGCAGCCAGGTGGAGAGAAGGGATCATTCCTAGTACTTCCAACCTTCCTCATCCCATTTAGCGCTGAGAAAACTGTGTGAATGACACAGTTTAGATGACTGTGACCTGATCCAGGCTCCATGCTGCTTAGAAGGTGTGACTTGGGTTCATCCTTTCTCCCACAGAGTTCCGGGTCCTTCCCACTGCACTGTAAAAACATTAGGGTAACTATTTTGGGTGAGGGGATGCTTTTGAATATCTGAGAGCTCCCAGAACTATCAAAAGCTTTTGGATGTCCTTATAAAGTTTTACAGACATAAGGTTTTCATAGAACTCATTCTATGATCTCTGGGTCCATATTTGAGATTTCTTCTTTACTCACTGATTTTTTACTCCAGTTATCAAGAACCATCCAAATCCTTTTTTCCTCTCCTGTGGTATGTGGGCACTAATTTGATACCACCTATCACCAGTGCTTGCCAATGAGTGACTGGTTTAAAAAAAAAAGGCTGAGATCTTCTATGTTCTTCATTCATTCTTTTCCTTCTTTTAGACCTTTTGCAGGTGCTTGGGAATCAGCCATGAATACAGCCCTATCCCTGTCCTCAAAGGCTTCACGGTCGAGTGCCTTCCAGAATGATGGAAGCATGTCCATGTGATATGGAGGTGGTCTGGGGCAGCAGGAATCAGGGTTCCTAGTCAGCCTGGGATTAAATCGCAGGCAGGTTGTTACTGGATGAGCCCAGGCCTTTGAGTGGAGGGAATATTAATGGTAACACCTACCTTATATCATTTCTAAAGAAGAGCTGTTCTTGTATAATTGGCTGTTTCTAGAAGTTAATACACAGAAAGTCTTTAGAATGGTGACTCTTGGAGACAAAGCCTTTGTTAACATTTAGTCATTATCGGTCACTAAAACCTCTTATTCAACAGCTATCTGAGGGTGAGTCAGGCCTGGTTAGTGGAGACAGATATAGGAAGAAATGTCACGGGGCAGCTCAAACTTAGACATTTGATGTCCGCATCGCTAGGAGCCAGCGTGATTTTCCTGGAAACGGTGCCATAGTATCAAGTGGATGCTCTGTTTGGCTGTGCAGTTTTGTCTTACTGGCTAAAAACTGCATTTGCTTTTCATTTGCAATTTGCTGTTTACCTGTTAGGATCCAGTTTACAAGTGACCATATGTGTAGGTATTTCCCCAGGAAGAGAATGGCCTCAAGATTTCCATGGCATCATTTGTGACAGGATTAAGTTATGGCACCTTTGAAGTCAGCCAACAGCCTGAAAGCCCAAGAAATTGTTTACAAAGGAGCCCATCGATTCTCCCTCTTTCTCTGGAAGCATCCGAGCAGTGAGACTCGCACAGTCTGTTTGGCACAGTGGCTGCTCTCAGCTGGCCGGGGCCTCCTGCTGTTCAGCAGTGAGAGGATGCGCCAGCGCTGGCTGTGGCTGAGCCGGGCCTGCCTGCAGGGTCTGCTTGTGCTTAACTGGGCCCTGCAACTGTGTACCCTGGCCTGCCGGTTCAGTTGCAATATCTTTTCCCTTAATATTTTCCATCTGGCCAGCAATGCCCCATAAAGACAGACACAAACCAGGTTTTGAATTATGAGGAGTGTGATGCTAAAATGCTTCCAACTCACACTCTAGAACCAGGAGTCCTGGGCAGCTGCCTTTGCATGCTAGAGAGAAAGAATCTTTCCTCAAGTTGGTTTGCAAAGCATGCAGTCACATCAAAGACCGGAGCCATTCAACTTTTAAGTGTCTGAAAAGGTTTTCTCAGTCCTGTCTCTGAGTGTCGCTGGATTTTAGCACTTAATTCACAATTATGCTACTAATATTGACACTTTCTGAGCAAAAAAACATAAGAGAGCTTCATTCTCAACTTCTAAAACTTTAGCTCTATCGAAAGCATCAACAGTGAGTGAGGCTTGGGGCGTAATCAGTGTCAGCATGGCCTGGAAGGCTTTATGATTGAAGGGGTTTCACTACAAACTTAGAACTTCCATCGAAGCCAAGATTTCAAAAATGACTCAAAGTTGCTTTTGAATTTCTCTCTTTGCTGAGAATTTTCCTGAAGATGCATTTGCTGGTGGCTTTTGGGCCAGACTGCAATGGTATACAAGAAAATCCTTTTCATGTTTTTGAGTCATTAGAAGTCAATTTTGTATCTCAAATTCAAGAGTGCACATTCAGATTTGGGCAATTTTTGTATCAGCTAGTAAAGCACTTGGGGATACTATGTATTTTCTGCAGCTGGATTCTTTTAGGAATTGCTAATCATCTTAGTCTTTTTGACTAAGAAAAGTGAGCCGCTCCTCCCTTTTTCAGAGGACAGGCCCATGCCCAGAGAGGTTATGGTCGGACTTCGTGGGCACAGCCTTGCCGGAAAGGCTAGTGAGGGCTGCCCAGGCATCTCCATGCTCAGACCTCAAGTCCATGCTGCCACCTCCTGTCTGCAGCTTAGCTTTCATTTTAAATCAACCGGGCTTTTCTTCTGAAGTTTGCTCAATGAATATTTTTGCAGTGTTTTGCCCTCTGTCTTCTCTTTTCTTCCTCTCCCCCCTCACCCCAGGTGGTTAAGGCTCAGTGCCAAAGTTGAAGTCAGATTTGGCCTAAAGCCAGCATTGAGAATGCAGTGTTTCTCTTTTCAGTACCACCAAAGGATGAAATTCATACTCAGCTCATTAGGAAGGCTAGGTATGGTGGTTTCAGAAGTTGATAAGATGGTCCTCACATGTGAGTTCATGGCTCCTCCCCCTCCTCAGCCACCTCTGCTGAGTGGGGTGTGGTGTACTGTGCCTCTCAATTGCCGACTCCAGAGGTTCGGATGAGGAATGCAGGTTTAACTGGAGCAACTCAATTAACTTTAAAAATGGGAGTGAGCACCAACTGCTAAGACCACAAAGGTTCGACTACGGTACCCTAACTCAATGTCTTAGAGAAGAATAAAGAGGAAAGGAAAGAAAGTACGGAACTTGCGTCTTTAGCAGTCTGGGCAGCAAGCAAAGGTCACACCAGAATATGGTTAGTTCTAGTCTATTCGTTCCTTCAGTAAACACTCACTGAACATTGTTCAGTGAACACTTATCAAGAGTACATTTTATGAAGCAGGTGACAGGGAAAAGATGGTCGAGCTCACAATTTCAATACGGTAAGTGTATAAAAGAGCAGAGCTCCGGGGGAGGTAGCCCACTTAGCCTGGTGAAGTGGGGAATTGAGAAGAGACTTACAGGACAAGCGAAACTCTTACCCAGGTCTCTGGGGACTTGGGGTGGGAATGGGGGTCAGAAAGTGCCCCGTAGGCATATTGATTGGCAGACAGAGGCCCAGCAGCCAGGGAGCACAGTGCTACTGCAGTGGCAGGTCATCCAGTGAGCCCTGAACAGAATGATTTGGTGGCTGGGGGAGGGGGGCGGGCAGTGGTGCAGCGGGCCGGGGTGGCGGTGGGGGCTGGAGAGCAAGGCCCTCTTGCCATGTTGTTGCTTTTGGACTTGAGCCTGAAATCAGTGAAGATGACCTAGAGCATCATAAACAAGGGAGTTACATAATGAGATTTGTGTGTTTGAAAATCATTTTGACTCCAGTGTGGAAGACCCAGTGATAGGTCAGAAGAGAAACTAGGGGACCGGCATTAGGACAGAAAGGGGAGGGTTAGTGAGATAGAGAGTGAGTAAACTTTCATTCTAAGGCAGAAGATAATCTCTAAATTAGACATGTGAAAAGAGTGTCATTTATCATCTCAAAGCCCGGATTTTTATATTAAAATCCCTGGCATTGTGCCTTTTAAATGTTCATTGGTTGGTTGTCGAATGAATGAGTGATGAATACCATTTCTTTGGGAGCAGAGGTGACTGTCTTAGTCTTCTGGTTCCATTTCGCCTAAACTAACATTGTTTGAACTGTGTTCCCAAGTGTACACGCACAAGCAGTGGGCTGAAGCCATCCACACATCTCCCAGGTGGCAACAGGAAGTCAATCTTGGATTTTAAAACTGGCCATAGATAAGCTAGTGATTATATAGTCATGGACCATACCATTTAAAAAAAAAAAAAAAGATAAAGTTAGCTCTGCCAAGATTAGTCTGTAAAGAGTTTGAACATATTTTAAATAGCCCCCGAGGGTTAGAAAAGTAAGCGTTTGTCTGTGCTAGTTGCTGGGCCTGGTAAAAAGACTGTTTTTTGGTGAATGAAAGGATCGGAGGGGGCAATTCTTCTGATCTTTTGCTAGACTGAGCTGGGCCCTCTACTTTGATGACATTTGAAGTTGTGGGCCCCTTAATGAGAACACTTTAACCGGTCTCAGACCAGTCTTTCTTCCTCTTCTTTTTACCTTTGTTCATTGGGCCCCCTTTGGCCCCTCAGCATGTACAGACCTTCCTCCATTAAAGAATGAGGCATTTTCCCTTGGAGCTCAGGCGATGTGAGACAGCTGCCTCTGCTGTCTCCCCACCCCTCTTGTTTTCTTCAAGACTTAGCTGAGAGTTGGAGTGAAGAAAACTCTTTTTTCCTCTCTCAATTCATTACACCTGCTCGCAGGGACATCGCCTGTTTGACTTGGTGGTCACTTTGA